CTTCCCCTGATGGCGTCCGGGTGATGTTTTTTTTTACACTCAGGATACCCAGGAAATCCCGGGAAACGATTCTCGCTGAGGCGCCGGCGTCATTTTTTCCAAAATGCTGCTCTCGTTGAGGCGCCGGCCTCATTTCTGCTCCCGAATCGTTCCGAATCGTGCTCCCTCTGCAGCGTGGGCCTCATTTTCGGATCGGTGTTTGGCCTCCGTCGTTCAGGATGGCGTTCTCGCCCCAGCGCGGGCCTTTTTCTCGCGCGCCCATCCGCCCGCCACCACCGCGCCGCACCACCACCACCACCACCACCACCACCACCACCACAACCACCACCACCAGCCCACACCACCACACCATCACCACCACCACCACCAGCACCACACCACACCACCACACCACCACCACCACCACCAACCACCACCACCACCACCACCACCACCACCACCACCACCACCACCACGACAACCACGCACACACGCACGCACGCACGCACGTGCACCACCACCCACTACGCACGCGCGCGCGGAGCCACAGGTCCGCTACGACACGCGTCCGCGGATAGAGAAAATCAGCGCCATGGTAAGGGACGGGAGGGAGGGGTAGGACGTCAGATATGACGCGAGCGCACCTAGCTTGCCCCTACCCCTCCTCCTCCTCCTCCTCCTCATCATCATCATCATCCTCATCCTCATCCTCCTCCGCTTCCTCCTTCTCCTCCTCATCCTCCTCCTGCTCCTCCTCCTCCTCCACCTGCTCCTACTTCTCCTCGGACAACTCGCGGCGGATGTCTTCACCATTTTCGACCTCCAGGGAAACATGTCCACAGCGCTCTGGGACGATTTGAGGATGGTCCAGATCGTTCGGGAACCCTGGGCTGGTTGATGGGAAGGAGATCGAGCAGAAGGAGGACGACGACGAGGATGCCAAGAGCTTAGATGTAAGCTATGACAGCTATGCTTCTGAAGACCAGGGCGGTGGTCAGTTGTGCGCACTTCTTCCGCATCTCGAACACCTCGGCCGTCTGTCGTTAGTCCCAGCATCAGCGCCAGCCTTAGCTTTGCCCCTCTCCCAGCTGGCTTCGACCGCGAGGATCACTGCTTCTGATTATGTCTGACATTTAGAGCTTCCAGAGGCCTCCGCGGGGAACTGTGTGTGGGGCCGCTGATCCTTGGACCTCTGCCTTGGCGCGTTCTGATCAGGATTTGGAGGGGAACCCAGCAGTGATGGCGACGGGGGCTTGGCAGTGTCACCGTCAAATCTACTCTTCGTCCACACCCTGAAAAAGGCCATAAAGAGCTTCTGGCCCGGTCCTCACCCACCCTCTTTGACGCCTCCCGGCTTCTGGACCATACCTCGCTGGCGGCCAGTCAGGGCAATCCGGGCACCTCCGGAAAGCTCTCGACGAGGCGCAGCTGCTGAAAAGCACCCTGAGACTGGAAAACCGCCGAGAACCCGAGAACCGACGAAAACGTCTGAAAATCTCGAGCATCCGCGATGAATAGGCGATTAGGCGATGCAAACCTAGAGCACCAGAAGTCAACGAAAACTGACGTCCGGGACCCACGCGGCGGGCGCCTGGGCACTCCTCCTTGGTCCCGTGCACGGCCACGACGGAGTCCCCCGCGGAGACGAGGCCCCACTCCTGGCGGCGCAGGCGGTGGGGGGAAGGGAAAGGAAGAGGGGAAGCGGGAGGAGGAGGAGGAGGAGGCGGAGGAGGAGGCGGAGGAGGAGGAGGAGGCGGAGGAAGAGGAGAAGAAGAAGAAGAAGAAGAAGAAGAAAGCGGAGGAGGCGGAGGAGGAGGAGGAGGGCCGCGAGGGCCGCTGAGGGCCGCGGGCGAGGCCGGCGCGGCGGCGGCAGAGCCCCGCCCCCAGGCGTCGGGCAGGGGCGCGGGCGGAGGGGAGCGCGGGGGAGGCGGCGCGGGCGGGGCGGCGCGGAGCGGCGGGGGGGGGGGGGGGGGGTGGGGGGGCGGCGGGCAGGAGGCGAAGCGGAGGGGCGCGGAGGGGAGGGGCGGCGAGGGCGCCGCGCGTGCGCGCGGAGGGGCCCCTGCTTCGCCAGCGGCCCGGCGAGGCGAGCGCCGGCTGCAGGGCGGCAGCCGGGGAGGGGCTGGCGCCCGAGCGGCCGCCGCCTCTCGCGCCGGGAGCGCCGGGAGAGAGGAGGGGGAGCGGGGAGGCACCGAGCCCGGGCTGCTGAGGGGGATCGGGCCCCACATGCAATAACCACAGGGCTGGGCCTAGAACTGGGTCGGGCATCTCCCCCTAAAGGCGGATTCTGGAGGAAAAATGAAAAAAATCTCCAATAATGTTCTAAAATAGCTGAAGATGATCGAAAAATCGTCCCCGTACTATTTGTCGACTATTTTTGAATACGCCTCCTGTAGAGGAACACGCCCGACTTAAGCCTAGAAGCTGTTTTTAGTTTTGTCTTCGTTTTGTGCTTCGCTTTGCTCTCCCCCTGTTTTCCAGTACCTCCCTGCCAAAACGCAGAACAAAACACGGCCGAAGTCCAGCAAAGCAGCACCTGCACCGGTATCACGCCTGGACTCCGTTCGGGGCCGCTCCAGCGCGGCGCGGTGCACATCTTGTTTCGGCTCCGGGGGCCGGCCGCAAAACTGTGCACCGCACCCTTCCTGCGTCGAGAATCGACGACGCCTCGGGGGACGCCAACACGGCACGGTGCACACGTGGATGCAGCGGCACGGTGGAGAGAGGAGAGCGGCCCGAGACGGGGCGGGGCTGGGCGGCCCGCTCGGGACCCGTTTCTCTCGGGACCCGCTCGCTTCATGGCCTCCTCCTCCTCCTCCTCCTCCTCCTCCTCCTCCTCCTCCGCCTCCTCCTCCTCCTCCGCCTCCTCCTCCTCCTCCTCCTCCTCCTCGTCCTCCTCCTCCTCCTCCTCCTCCACCCTGGGCGAGACCGTGGGGACATGCCCTGCGCCGCACCTGCGGCAAAAGACCGACCCCGTAGGAAGGGCCGTTGTGAGGACGCGCGCGCGCCTGCACCCGCGCGGCGCCTCTTTGTCCCCGCGGGCCGCTCGTGCCGCGGCGGAAGAAGCCGAGGGGGCGGAGCTCGCCAGCGGGTCGGCGTCGGTGAGGACAAAGCGGTGCGGTGACGGACCGCGCGGCAACCTCAGAGCATCTCAAGACCTCAGCGCACGGCCCGTCGCCGCACCGCCTTGGGACCCTGGCGGCCCCCATCGCCCTGGACCTCCTCCGAGGACGACCTCAGGGCCCAGAGCCGCGCGGCCAGCCCCGAGCTCGCACTGCCTCGCCACACGGCGTGGTCACCGCACAGACTGGGGGCCGCCGACGGACTTCGCGCATCGCGCACCCCACGCTGCGCGCCGCGCGGCTGCTCTCGCGCCCCGCCTCTTCACGCCCCCTGCGGGTGACCCAGGAAATCGAGGGTGCGGAGCAGGCAAGCGTTAAGTCTGGCATGTCCATCTACAGGGGAATATTCCAAAATTGCCCAAAAAGCAGTGTGGGACGAGCTTTTACCACTTTTGACTATATGTTTGTCGGTCTTTTTATTCTTCGTCGAAAGATCCACCTGTAGGGGGACATGCCCGACCTGAAGCAAGCGGGTGGCCGTCGGTGAGGGGCACGGCGGGCTCGCGTCGTGACGATCTGTGCCGTGGTTTTCCTTGATCGCACAGGGCCCTCGCGGCCTTCCGATACCTCAGAGGACCGCTCGGCATCGACCAGCTCTGGGCCACTGGCGGCGTGCAGCCTCGAAGGCCAAACGCTGGGGTCGCCGACGCGTGGACACGACACGAACCTGCCGCGATCTTTGCCACGTCAGCCGCGCCGGCGCGGCAGCGCAGGCAGCGCGCGTCTTCACATGTTGCGGCCAGGTGGCCCCAAAATCCCACCAGCCCGTTGGGCTGAAATGGTCTGACGGCATATGTCTTGCAGAACCTCTTGCATTCGGGGAGAGGTACCCTCCTCCTTCCCTCCCTGGGTTTCTGTTTGGGGCGTCGCGAGGCGTTAGAGCGTCCAAGATGGCCTCGGCGAGAAGGCCAATGTTGGCCCCCTGGGGAAACCAAACGTTAGCACCCCCATTGTGATCGATGGCCTCCAAGACGGCCCCAAGAGGCCCACCAGGGCTCCCAAGGGACCCCCAAGAGGGCTCCAAGAGGACCCCGAGCGGGCCCCAAGACCCCCCGAAAGAGCGCCAAGACAATCCCGGGATCCCCCAAAAGAGCCCCAAGAGGGCTGCAAGAGGCGATTGTGAGGGTTCGGTCCTCATCCTCGCTGTCCTCCTCCTCCTCCTCCTCCTCCTCATCCTCCTCCTCCTACTCCTCATCCTCCTCCTGCTCCTCCTCCTCGTCCTTACCCTCGTCGTCTTCGTTGTCGTTTTTCCTACTCTTCCTCGTCGTTGTCGTCGTCGTATTCCTCATCCTCTTCCTCCTCGTCCTTCCCCCTCCTCCTCCTCCTCCTCCTCCTCCTCCTCCTCCTCTGCTTCCTCCTCCTCCTCCTCCTCCTCCTCCTCCTCCTCCTCCTCCTCCTGTTCCTTCCCTCGCCCCCACGCGGCGCGGGCCCCAGGGACGGCCCGAAGAAGCCCTCCAAGGCCAACGCCTTGCTCCCAGAGATCTCTCTGTTCACCATGGTTCCCCGCTTAATTTCACTGCGTGTGCCTCTTCGTCCCCTTCTCCATCAACTCTCACGAACAAGATTTCTGAATGGGCTGGTGAGGATACGCGAAGCGTGATGGATCCCAGTTTGAATATTTAGACATCCAGCTGCCGCCCAGGATCTGAGGAGCATTACGCTCTTGAGTGAGACGAGCCCAGATCACTCTCAGACTAGCAATTTCCGTTCGCAGTGCCTGTGGGCAGACCACCACGAAGGATCCACGGCGCTTGATAATTGAATACTCCACCTCCAACGCCTCAGAAAGGGCACGTGAACTCCTGATCGGACACAGAAGGTATGCTCCCAGATTGTGGAGGTCTATATCAGGCCAGTCGCCCGAGAGGTCAGTATTCTCCGACGGGAGGGTGCCATACGTGGCTCCTCGCCTTGAGTTATTTGGGTCTGAGTACGGCGCCACATTGTGGAATTCATGCCCGTCCTCGTCCGTGCTCCTCCTGTCCCTTCCCCGTCTCCCCCCACCTCGTGGTCATCCTCCTCCTCCTCCTCCTCCTCCTCCTCCTCCTCCTCCTCCTCCTCCTCCTCCTCCTCCTCCTCCTCACCCTGCCTCCTCCTCCTCCTCTTCCCGCTGGGGGTGCCCCCCCCCGAAAGCCATCCGCCACGGGCAGGTCCTTGGCCTGCTTCAGCGCCTTGGCGATGACGGAGTCGGTGCCTCCCACCCTCTCTCTCTCTCTTTATCTCCCCCATTCTCTCTCATTGTGACTCTCTCTCTCTCTTGATGTATGTGTCTCTCCCTTCCTCCCTCTCTGTCTCTCTCTCTCTCTCTCTCTCTCTAGATTTGCTCTACGAGCTTCGGCTGTCCCTCGAAGTCGAGAGTGTCCCTGGAGGAAGGGCGGAGGGAGGAGGGAGGGCGGGAGTGAAGCGAGAGAGAGGGAGAGAGGGAAGAGGCGAAAAGAGAAAAAGAGAGAGAGAGAGAGACAGAGACAGAGACAAAGACAGAGACTGAAGGAGAGGGAGGGGGAGGGAGGGGGTGAGGGACAAGCTAGGTGCGCTCGCGTCATATATGACGTCCTACCCCTCCCTCCCATCCCTTACCATGGCGTAGATCTCCTCTCTGTTCGCACAGTCGGATGTCGTGGCAGGCATAGCATTACATGGCATAGCATGATATTGAAGATCAACGCGTAGCCTGGCATAGCATGGCGTGGCGACGTCCCAAACTGGGGGGGGGCTTCTGCGACCCCAAAAATCAACGAATTGGCAACGAATGTGGAATCACTTCCGATGTTTTGTTTCGGGGGGGGCCATGTCCTAGAAGTTCGGGCCAATTTGGAAGGACCGAAACTCATGCCGTTGCATGGCGCTGGAAATAATGACGCCAGCGCTGCAGCGGGAGCACGATTCGGAACGAGCGGAAGCGCGGAAATGAGGCCAGCGCTGCAGCAGGAGCACGAGTCAGAACGAGCGGTAGTCCGAAAATGAGGCCAGCGCTTCAGCGAGAGCAACATTTTGAAAAAAAACATGCGAATACCGATTCCTGGGAATCCTGTGCAGAAAAACAATACGCGGCAGGAAGGCCGAGCAGTTCCCGGACGTCACCAGGCGAGAGAGGAGAGCAGTATTCATAGTGTGTGACTGTGGAGAAAGAACTGACTTTAGGTCGGGCATGTCCTCCTACAGGCCGATTCTCGACGAAAAATCAGAAGGCTCACACAATATCAAAAATGGATTCATAAAAAATGAAACATATGTCTTTGGTATATAAAAATGGGGAAAAACAAACAACAAAAAGTTTAAAAGTAGTCGCCATGCTATGCTCTACTATGTTTGGGAGAGCCCTCCTGCAGAGGCGCAGGCCCGACGTAGCGAAAGAACGGACCGAGGGAGCGGACTGGCCCCATCGCTCGGACGTCCATTCCCCGTGTTTTTGTTTCGGTTTCGTGCGTGGCTTCTTCGCCAAATGATCAAGGATGCTCCTCGATGGTCCTCGCCGAAGGAAAAGTGCACACGTCCGAGCGATGCCAAGCGGAGGAGGCGGGAGGGCAGGGCGCGCGCCCGAGAGTCGGCACGGACCCTCTGCGCCTCGACCTCTCGGGGCGGGTGGGCAGGAGGACCACCCCCGCGGCAGGCTCGGGTCGGGCACGGCCCCCTGCAGGCGGACCCTGGACGAAGAAGGAGAGAGAGTCGGAAAAAAAACTCTGCGTCTCAGCATCTGCAGCGGCTCCTTCTTTGCCCTCCCCTTTCGTTTGCTCCCTTTTGTGTCAGCACCATTTTTCAAGTCGGGACAAGGATCACGGCCTCACACGCCCACCCGGTCTCAGAGCGAAGAAGGAGAGAGAGTCAACAAAAAAATACGAGTGATTGTCAAACACAGTCGACAAAAGCCTCTTCCGACCATTTCTTGACTCTGGTTGAATGTTCCTCCCGACCCGACTTAGCGATGAGCCCCAAGGGGACCCCCCAAGAGGGCCGCGGAAGGCGAACATCAAGCATGTCCCAAACAACCTGGGCGGTCTTAGAACTCTCGCCTGGTCGGGCTTCCGCCACCGTGCGGCCCAGTGACGGGCACAGCCTTGGCGACGAGGCTCCCGAGAGCCGTGGGCGGCGAAAGCCTTGGTCAGGGCGAGCTGACGGCGCGAAAAGCTCTTCACGCCAAGAGCGAACGGTGACGTAAACAGCTTGAAAACGCCGAGGCACCCAGCACGCAAGGCTTTGGGACGACGCGTGCAGAGGCCATCGACGCGGGCAGCGACGCCGCCATCGAAGGATGAGGGTGCTTCTGCGTCGTCGTCGGCGGCAGCGTCGGTGTCGCCGTCGGGCACGCAGCTGCTCAAGATGGGTCCCCGAATACCTCCCAGGGTCCCGCTCTGGCCAGCTGCTCGGGCTGCGTCCAGCCGTGGCGACGAGAACCTCCAGAGACGATCCAAACGCCTCCGAAACCGAGAAGCGGAGACGACGACGACGACGACGACGACGACGACGACGACGACGACGACGGCAGGGGGAGGGAGGGAGGGAAGGCAGGACCAAGGGGAGGGGAGAGGAGGATTTTTGGATTGCAAGCGCGATGAACCTGTGACGGCTGTCGCGAGAGAGTGGCGCTGCAGCTAGCAGAAGCTTTAAAGATCAGTCAGGCAGGCCGGCTGAACTAAGACATTAATCTGCACGGGCACCAAGTGGGGCAAGGTCAGCACAGCACGAGCGCCCCCCGCATCAGAGCGGATGGAACGCGTCGAAACAAGGCATATAGAGGAGGGAGGAGGGAGGAGGGAGGGATCACACTCCATCGGCCCCTGATGCTCCTCGACCCGCGAGCCTCGGAGCTCGAGCCTGCCGTGCCCGCGGAAGCAAGAGCGGGACCAACGCCACGCCGCCGTGGGGAGCTCATCTGCGCGTCACTGCTGGTGAACCACTAGGCCTTCGGACAAAAACGAAGGAGTAACACGTTGTAAATCAGCTTACGGAATCTCTGGCGCCCAACACAATGCACCCAATAGCGCCCAAAACGGATGCAAATGCATCTCCCTCGCGGGGCGCCATTGGGCGCCACGTGGGTGCTGTTCGGCGCGAGTGGGCGCTGCTCGGGTGCTGCTTGAGCGCCTAGTGGGCGCCATTGAGCGTCACTGGGCGGTGTTTGGGCGCTACTGTACGCTGCACACCGGTACCCATTCAGAGCAAGACGAGCGGAAGCTTCCACGAGCTCACTGCCGACGACACAACGACCGGCTCCCACAACGGCGGCGGGCGCACCCGCCGACGCGCTCCCCACGGCGGCTGGCGCTGCTGCGGTGGACCAGCCGATAGGCTCCCAACGACGGCGCGTGGGCACGCACGACCACGACGACGACGACGAAGACGACGACGACGACGACGACGACGACGACGACGACGACCACGACGACGACGACGACGACGACCACGACGACGACCACGACGACCACGACGACGACCACAAAGACGACGACGACGACGACGACGACGATGACGGCGGCGGCGGCGGCGACGGCGGCGGCGGCTGCGCGGTCTGCCCGAGGCCGGTCGCCCCCACCCGCCCGCCGACGAAGGAGGCCGTCAGCATCGGGATGACGCCGCGGCTGCGGGCGGGGAGGGCGGGAGCGGCCGCACTTCGCCGGCCGGTGCCGCTGGCACTGCCGCTGCGGCCCGTTCGTCCGGAGTCTCTGAAGGGGCCCTGGGACACACAAAGAAATACACACGAGTAAAAAGATTCCCCATACTTTCCCATATCTTCTGGGTTTTTGTCTTCCCCCCCACTTCCCATGTCTTCCCATATTTTCTGGGGAATCGACGATTAATTGTGTCTGTGTGTTTTTTGTCCCTCCTGAGTCCTGGCCAGAGGTGAAGCTTCTGGAGGGCTTCGGCGGTTCTTGGGATGGCTTCTCCCCTCGGGATGCCTTTTCCAGCAGCCGCGCCTCGAGGAGAGCGCCCCGCGGGTGCCCAGGTCGTCCCCGAGCGGCCGCCAGAGGCCCGAGCTATAGGCTGCAGCCCGAAGCCCTCGGAGAGCGTGTTGGCGCCAAGGTGTGTGGTTGTCAAGCGACGTGCCCCAGGCCGCCGCGCACTCCTCGGGGCGAGGACTCTCTTCGCCTGGGGTCTCCCCCCGCGTTCCTCGGCGGTGGGCAAGCCTCCCCTCAGCAGACCTCCCTCTCTAGTGAAAAGGGCCCAGGAGCGAAACAGACGGACCTGGGACCCGCAAAAATGACGGCCGCGACGCCGTGAAAACGGCCAATTCGCTAATCGACGTGTCAGGGTAGGAGGCCTGTCAACCTCTGAGTTCCCCCCTCCGGGCTGCCCTCCTCTTCTCCGCTCGTCTAATGTGCCTCCGCCTGGCTGACCGCCCGCTGGCTGACCGCCCGCGTTGGCGTCTGTTCTCGCCGCTCACCAAAAAGCTTGTGAACCGGGACCCTTCCGTGCGACGCAGGCGGCGTGATACAGTATTTAGCCTGACCTACGGAACGATAAATAAGGAACGAAACCCCTACCGAAGGAACGGCCGAGCTCCTTTGTTAGCGGCTTCCGACACAGGTCCGGGCCCCCAAGCGAACCCCAGAGGGCGTTCGACCTTGACGCCCGCGCTGGCGCCACCGCCGCGTCGAGGCGGCGCGGCCTTGCAGCACAGAAGGGGGCGGGGTGCAGACAACCCGGTCCGAAGCAGGCCTGGCGAGAGGCTGAAGCTTGCGCAAGGGCCTGGCGAGGTCACAGAGAGTGGAGGGACGAAGGAGGGAGAGGGGAGGACGCTCGCTGCGGGTCTGATCCAGGCGCCGCCGGAGAAGGGGAGGCAGCACCAGGAGGGGGATCAAGGACAAGAGCGAGGAAAACAGAGGGAGGGGGTAGGAGGGGGAAGAGAAGACAGAGAAGGTAGGGAGAGGAAGGAGGAGAAGAAGAAGATGAAGATGAGGAAGAAGAAGAAGAAGAAGAGGAAGGAGGGGAAAAAGGAGAGGAGGGGGGGAGGGGGATGGAGGAGGGGGGAGGGGGAGGGGGATGTGATGGGGAAGGGGAGAGGTGGAGGAGGGCTCAAGGCTCCAGGCTTCGAGGGTTGGCTGCGCCCCGGCGGCCCCAGCCCGAGGGTGGAGGAGGGCGGGGGATGCGCCGCCCGAGGGCCTGAGGTACAGGTGGCGCTGGGTGGTCTCGCTGGCGGTGATGGCCAGGATCTGGGCCTGTAGGGTCGCGGTCCTTGGCGTCCTCGGACTCCTCCTCCTCCTCCTCCTCCTCCTCCGCCTCCTCCTCCTCCTCCGCCTCCTCCTCCTCCTCCTCCTCCTCCGCCTCCTCCTCCTCCTCCTCCTCCTCCTCCTCCCAGGGTTCCCTCGACATTCGCCTCCTCCTCATCAAACCATGCTCCTCTCCCCTGCTTCGCTCCCTCCTGCTTCTCTTACTCCGGAACGCTTCCCTTACATAGCTCCTCGTCGTCGCCCCATCAGACGTGTCAGTCTCCCTTTGTTGAAGGAGGACGAGCGAGGAAGGAGACGCCCCCCACGCTTCACAGGTGCGCGCGTGCACTGCGTGGCAAGAAGAAGCAGAAATGGTCTCAGGCTGCTCCAAGAGACACCCCACACTGGCACCACTTGAAGTGTCAGTAGGGCAGGCTGGGCAACGAATGAGACCTGCCTGCCTCGACACGTGCGTCGTGTGGTCATGAAGACCGAACCCCAAGCTGTTACTCGCGTGAAGGCAAGTCAGTTTCGGAATGCAAACATCGTCTAAGCGCCGCACAAACTCGTTGTTCAAGCTTTCACTAGCCACAGAAATGGAGGGCGGGTTGTTTCCAATGATGTGGGTCTGGCCTGAGCTCCGCGCACGTTCATCTGACAAGCGGTCGACAGCTACACAGTTGGATAGCTCTTGTTATCAGAACAGCTCTCGCATCAGCGCCATGCACATAACATCATGGAGGGCGGTTCCTTTCGAAAAAAGGTTGTCGCATCAGAGCCGCGCACATTCATCTTGCAAAGCGGAGTTCGCGCTTGAGACCTCCTCAGGCCCTACGACCAGAAATGAACACTTGAGAACCAACAACACGAGTGGTGGACGGGTTCCTTTCCAATCCTGGGCTTATGTTGCTCCCATCGTACTTACGGACCACGTCCCGGAAATAATTTCGAGCACCCGGAAAAGTGTCGAAAGAGTGTCGGAAGAGTGTCGAAACAGTGTCCGACGAGTGTCTCCCAGGGCCCGACACGTGAAAACCCTCTACTTTTCTGGCGCTCGAATTTTTGCTCTGGTGATCAAGGCTAAAGCAGGTTGGACATCACAATCCTAGGGACTCGCTGGACACGCACCTGAACTGTATGAATACACCCTTGGCCCGCGCGGCCAGACGGATGGTGGGCGGATCCTGCTGAAAAAGAGGGCCCTCGTCAAACGGCAGGCCTCTGGGGCGCTCGCCTTTCCGTAGCGGCTTCCCGCACAGTGCTACGGAACGCTTGCGAGGAGTACGAGGAGGGGGCTGTGGGATAGGAGGGTCTGCTGCATCATCGCTGATGCATCCTGGTTTGATTACGTATGGTCCTCATTATCCCCTCCTCCTGATCCTCTTCCTCCTCCTCCGACTCCTTCACATCCACCTCATCCCCCCCCCCCTACGCTTCCTCGCCTCCCTCCTCCTCCTCGTCCTCCTCCGCTGCTCCACTTCGCATAAGCATTTACGTTCATAGGCGTTCGGTGGATCTCCTGTGCTGGGATGTTCCCCAAGGGGTTTTCGAATGGCTCACTGGGCTGTGCAGAGGCTGCCCCTGCGCCGTCTCCGGCCCCACTCCGTGTCGTCGTCCAAACTCCTTCCAGCTCCCCCCTTCCCCCCCCTTCTTTTCCCCTCTCCCCCCAAACCTCACCATCCTCTGCCTCCTGCCGATGCTCCTCCTCTTCCTCTCCTCCTCCTCCTCCTCCTCCTCCTCCTCCTCCACCTCCTCCTCCTCCTCCTCCTCATCCTCCTCCTTATTCTTCTCCTCCTCCTCCCAGGATTCCAACAACATTCGCCACCACCACCACCTCCTCATCCTCCTCCTCCTCCTCCTCCTCCTCACCAGCATCATCATCGTCATCGTCATCATCATCATCATCATCATCATCATCATCATCATCATCATCATCATCATCATCATCAGCAGCAGCAGCAGCAGCATCAGCATCATCATCATCATCATCAGCAGCAGCATCATCATCAGCATCATCATCGTCATCAGCATCATCATCATCAGCATCATCATCAGCAGCAGCATCATTAGCAGCATCATCCGCATCATCGTCCTCATCATCCGCATCATCATAATCATCGCCATCACCGTCATCATCAGCATCGTTATCAGCATCATCATCATCAGCATCGCCATCATCGTCGTCATCATCATCATCCTTTTCGTCATCATACCCTGCCACTCTCCCTCCTGCTTATCTTACTCATCCTTCTCATCCTCGTCGTTCTAAAGCTCCGCCTGCTCGTCCTCCGCCTCATCTTCCTCTTCATCATCCTGCCCTCACATGAAACAAGGGAGTCGCGTTTCCAGGACAGTTGCTGGAGTTGGTGGCTGAGCCGATGCGCAAAAACAGCTTGAAGCATCAACAAGGAACCCAAGAGACCCCCAAGAGGCTCCAAGAAGCTCTCCGAAGCACCCAAGACGCTCTAAGAGGCGTCAAGGACCAACAAAAGGCCCCCGGAACGCTCCAAGAGGCCTCCACTGGGGGGACCCTTCCTCTGTGTGTTGCCCACTTCCCTGATCGAGGCAAGTGCTCTGGGCATCGTTTCTGGATGGGCTGGTGGGGCAGCACCTAAGCTGACAAAGGGCTGGTGGGCTCACTTGTTACTCAGCAGCCGCAAGCGAGAGCGCAAACGGCGAGTCGAGTCAGGGCGGGCCGCGCAAAGACGAATTACCTAAAGCCGGCGGGGCCTCAGGCATCAAGCAGCGGAGACAGGCCACGCCTGACGCGGCTAACCGAGGCCTCACGCGGCAACCCAGCGGCGGACCGGCGGGTGGCAAGGGCAACTGAGACCGAATCGAACTGCCAGCGTGCAAATTGCATGGCGTCAGTAGCACCAGGAGGTCGGGACGAACGACGACCCGGGTCGGAAGCCGAGGACTTAATGCATGGGCCCGAACCCCGGACAAGTGCGTGAGCACCAGGGTGGCCGCAGCCAAAGGACCGCCGGTCGAGGTGGACTGCAAGGGCGAAGCCCCGGACGTCTGCGTGAGCGAGAGTACCAGGGTGGACCGAAGGACCGTCGGTCAAAGAATTAACGCCAGGAGGCGGAAGCGCTGGCAGGCTGCAACTCCCAGGGTAGCCGTAGCCAAAAGGTCCCAAAGCAGCAGAACGCACGAGTGCGGGAAGCAGCGTAGCCGCGACGCAGACAAAATGGCGCGGGTCACCACGAACCAGTGCGTGAAGTGGCGTCAGGTTGACCCAGCACGGGCCCGGAACCGGGCCACGAGCACGGAGCTGACACACAAAGGGACGAGAGACAGAGGGGACCACGGGAAAGATCCAAGCCTGAGTCAAGGGAGCCGATCAAACGTGGCGGGAGCGCACGGGACAGAGCGATGCCGTGACGGCCGCCAGCCCGTTATGGGAAAGGAACCGCGACTTGAGCGGCAAAGCGAAGGCCGGAGCGGTGGAGGGACGACCCCTGGTGGTGTTATTGTTTCCTCGCGGGCGCTAGCGGACGCGCAGGCGCCGAGTCGAAAGGTCCTGGCCACGGGCCGATCTAATTGGCAACGCGCGAGCCGAGAAGCACAGCGACCGAGCCTGGAATCAGAACCTACCGCCGGTGGGGCAGCTGGCTGAGGCTGAGTTGGCTGAGCTGACTGCAAACGGCCAGGGTAGCAGATGCAAGCGTGCGGGTGAATTCGGTCCAGCACGCCAGGAGATGTCGTGACCTGTTCTGTATCTACAGACCAGACGTCGGCCTAGCGCGGCGGTGCCACCATGCGGGCGGACCCGGGACGGCGAACACCCAGGAACAGGGTCCGAGAGGTGCAATCGCGCTCGAACTCAAGAGGGTACCGTGGGAGAAAGTCACCAGGTACGCAAACGGACCTTGTCGCCACAGGCCTGGTGGGGTTACGCGAAGCGTCTAGAATTCCCAAAACACCACGTCGCAATCCCAACCAAACTGGCCAGCAACACTCCCGATTCTGAGATAGAGGCTGGACCTGCTCTCAAGGAGATCACGCCACCACGCCGGCAGACAGCAGCGGCCACCATCGCACACCTACCACCGAGTTGCGAACTACAAGAGGAGCCAGGACGGAGCAGGGAGGACGGAGGATGCAGGATCGAGGAGGGTTCGGTTCGGTTCGACCCTCCTCGGAAGCAAAATACACGATCTCGGCAGCCGGGGGGGTGCGCAACTAATGAGCAGCAGGGCCCAGGGCGCCAGACGGAGGAGGGAGGACGAAGGAGGGCAAGGGAGGAGAAGCTACCCCCCCAGGGAAGACGGAGGAGGCCTCCGGAGGTCAAACAAGGCACCAGCACGCAAGGAGGACATCGATCTTCCTCCCTCCCTCCTCCCTCCTCCCTCCCTCCCTCCCTCCTCCTCCCTCCCTCCCTCCCTCCCTCCTCCATCCTCCATCCTCTGTCTCACCTGCTTCCTCCCATCGTTCACGAGCGTCGACCCTCCAGGATGGCCGGGAGGCCCCACGGGTCCCCCCCGGACCGGACAAGGCCATGCCGACCCTCAAGGCAGTCGGCGCTACACCACGGCAATCCCATCCCTCCCTCTCGGCTTCCCTCCCTCCCTCCCTGTGACGACCTTCCTCCTTCCTCGATCGCTCCCTCCCTGCTCGACCTTCCTCCTCCCTCCCCTCCCCCTGCTCGATCCGCCTCCCTCCCTCGCTCCCACCCTCCCCTCCCCTCCCTCCCCCCTGCACGGGAACGTCAAGGGGGGACCAGCTCAGCTCGGGGGCGGAAACCTCGACCTGGCGTCGGCGACAAACCGCCCGCTAGGCCCCCGACAGCGATATATCCGGTCGCGCTCCTGGGCGGGCTGGGCCCGCCTATCGGGCCCCTCTCGGCGATGACTGGGCGAGTGTGAAGGGGCCCCAGGACGCACAAATAAATACACACAAATAAACAGATTCCCCATACTTTCCCATATTTTTGGGGGTTTCATCTTCCCTCCCACACTTCCCATAGTTTCCCCTATTTTCTAGGGAATCGCAATTAATTGTGTCTGTGTGTTTTTCCCCCTCCTGAGATTGGGGGCCGATGCATCCCCCCCGAGCCTGTCCACCCCCAACGTTGCCCCTGACGTTCCGCCCCATGGGTTTCGGGCCTCGGGCGGCCGCTCGGGACGACGACACTCATGGCACCTCCAGAACGCCCTCCTCGAGGCGCAGCTGCTGGAGAGGCTGGAAGCCCGCCGAGGACCGACGCGAAAAGAGGCCCGAGAAAGCCTCGCGTCTCCGCGACGAGTTGGCGACGGGGGGCCGACGCCTCCCCCCCCCGAGCCTCTCCACCCCCTCGCGGCAGCGGCCGCCGGAGCCGCAGGGCGGCCGCCACGGCGCCGGAGGAGCGGCGCCCCGCGCGCCGCCGCCGGGGGGGGGGGGGGGGGGCGGCGCATCGTGCGCGCGCGCGCCTTCGGGCGGTACTTGGCCAGCATCACCGCGGTGGAGCCTGGCGGCGCCCCCGCCCCGCCTCCCTCCTCCGCGCCTCTCTGCGAGGTGGGAGGCAGCTCCTGGGGAGGTCTTCGTCTGGGCGACTGCGAGGCAGCTCCTGGGAGGTCTTCGTCTGGACGACTGCGAGGTGGGAGGCAACTCCCGGGAGGCAGCTCCTGGGAGGCAACTCCTGGGAGGTGGGAGGCAACTCCTGGGAGGCTATGAGGCCCGATGCAAAGAGGGCCACGGCGACGGAGCGGGCTGGAGAGAGCCTGGGCTTCCTCCCACATCCTCCACCTCGCCGTCCTCCTTCTGCCCACCCACCCTTCTCCTCGTCTCCCCTGCTCTCCCCTCGTGCCCCCCTTTCTTCCTCCTCCTTCTTCTCCTCCTCCTCATCTTATTCGTCTTCTTTTTGCTATCATCATTACTCGTAGTGTTCGTAATAGTATCCGAAATGCTATGGTTGATAATGTTATTAAGATGATGATTAGCATTATTATCACTGTTTAGTCGCGTTCGTATTATTATTCGTGTTAGAAAACGTACTAGTAGTATTAATAATATTCTGAATGATAGCATAAGTGTGCTTAGTCGCATTATTATGTTATTTGTATTAGTAGTAGGTTTATTATGATTCGTTGTATGATTAGTCTCATTATAAATTTAAGTATTAGCATTAGTAATAGAACTCTCGGTTGTCTGAATATTACAACTATTATCATTAGTACGATTAGCATTATTATTATTATTCGTGTTCCTCTTCCTCTTATTATCATGATATCTCTTCCTCCTCCTTTTCCTCCTCATCCTCTCTCCTCCTCCTCCCTCCTCCTCCTCCTCCCTCCTCCCTCCTCTTTCCTCCCTCCTCTTTCCTCCCACCTCCGCCTCCTCCTCCTCCTCCCCCACCCAGGAGGGGCGCAGCGCCGGCTATCCGCCGCGGTGCACGGGCCCATGCCGATGGGCCCGTCCACGGGCCCAGGGCTATAGCGGGCGCGAACGCCCCCCCAGCCGGGCCGAGGCGACGAGGATCGGATCGGACGACAGGGGCGATAGCTGAAGTCAAGTCGGGCCTGTCCCTCTCCAGGGGGAATCTTCAGGAATGATAGGAAAATAGTCTGGGGGCGATGTCTTGAGTTTGTTTTGGCCATTTTGGGGTATGTTTGACTACTTTTAATGTTTCGCCTGAAATCCCTCTGTGGGAGGGCAGGCCCGACTTAAGGTTAGCGAATCAGCTCACGTAGCTGATGTCCCTCGAGCTCGGGCTCGGGCTCTCTCGGTCTCGCGCTTGGGCTCGGGCTCGCGCTCGATCTCGGTCTATGGCTCTGGCTCGTGCTCGGGCTCGCGGCGCCTCGCGCCAGAGACGCCCGATAGATCGAGGCAAACGCCTGGCGGCGGAGCCGAAGCCAGCTGCATGCAGCAGATGTCGTACCCCTCTTTCATTATCCCCCCTTCTCATCAGCAAACGCTTCGCCGGTCTAGGGAACAGCTTCGAACGCAGCTTCATCCTCGACCTCATCCTCGTCCTCACCCCTGCTACTTACGAAACAACGCTGAAGGGAAGCAGGGAAGACCGAGGACTTTCGAGAAAGTTCGGGGCTTTGGGCCGTTGAGTGAGCCTTCGTGGGAGACCGAGTCCCGATGTCGTCCCGATTTCGATCACCCCTCTTCACCCTGTCGTCCAGAATTCGTCCAGAGCGTCCAACTGTCGGCCAGATGTCGTCCAAATGTCGACCCAATCCGACGAACCCGTACCCCAGAGACGGAAGGAATTTTCGGACCCTCTGAGGCGCCCGAGAAGGACCACACAATGGGCGGCCTGCACACTCTCACAGTGATCCTCAGAGCATGCGGTTGGCGCCAGCGTGTGCTTGTCCACTGAAGCCCACCAATACGACGCAGGCGGTGTGATGAGTGCTGGCACAGGCTGCGTGCTATCGGTGGAGCTGAACGGGGTACGTCAAAACACACTGGGCCAAGACACGTCCTGAGGATCATGGTCTCTCTCGGGCACACGGAGGCCTCCAGAGGGGGGGCGGAGAATGGCGGACGGAGAAGAGTGAGGACAAGGAAGTGGAGGGAAGAAGAGGGAAGAAGAGGGGGAGGGTGGGGGAGGCGGGGGGGAGAGGAGGAGAGCAAAGGGCAAGAAGCCACGCAAAGTGGTCATGGGTGCAGGATTGCTCAAAAAATGCATGCGCACACTCCCCATACCCCTTTGCTGGCCTTCTCGTCTCGAGCAGGATGAGTCTTCGAGTGTCCTGGGGCCCACAGCGGGGCCAGGACACCCGTCGGGATTTCCCCCTGGGGAGCGGGGGCAGACACAAGACCCCTTTTGGCACAGCACCCAATGCGACACCGACCCGGGACCAGACCCAGCAGGCGCAGGCCCGCAAAAGTTGCAGGCGCAACACCTCCCCGATCACGGAAAAGAGGCAGTTCCCCGATCGCCTTGGTAGCGTGGGCGTTCCATCAATGTCATACCCGAGCGCCTGGATGCGAGGGCTGGGCTTGCAAGGATTACCCATCGGTCCCAAGAAGTAGGTGGAAACATGAAATAGTAACGCGTTGAAAATAGAGTGGGTTCCGTCCGCCCCCCTGGGAGGACGGAAAAGGTGAGGCCACTCGATCATTTAAGTAGGAAGGCGCTCAAAGTAGATTGGAATCTGGGACCCCAAAAACATATCTATTGTCAACGACCGATGGGTAGTGCATGTAAGCAGATGTCTGTCGCCTCCGAGAGACAGCAGGGCCCCCCCAGTGGCCCGTCTCTGTGAGCGCCACGATGAGCTTGCAGTTGCTATCGATCGCGGTCTGGCGCAAGGTACTCTTCCACCCTGCGTCTCCCTTTGATTATCCTTCCCCTCCACCACCGCCCTCCTCGTCGCCATCGTAGTAGTCGTCGTTGCAGCCATCGTCACCATCATCACCACCATCATCAGCATCACCACCGCCACCACCATCATCGTCATCTGCATCCTCATCACCATCATCATCAGCAGCATCAGCATCATCAGCAGCATCAGCATCGGCATCACCAACATCATCATCGTCATCCTCATCATCATCATCATCATCAACATCAGCAGCAGCATCATCGTCATCACCATCAGCATCAGCATCAGCATCATCATCTCCATCAGCAGCATCACCAGCAGCACCATCAGCATCAGCATCATCATCGTGATCATCAGCACTCTTTTTCAACATCCTCAACATGAGCATCGCCGTCAGCACCACAAGCCTCGCAATCGCCAGTACCAGCATCATCGCATCCTCGTCACCCTATTCAACGACAGCATCACCATGAATCATCAATATCACCGTGACCATCAACCTCAACATTACCGTCATCATCACCGTCACCATCATCAGCAGCATCATCGACCTCATTATCCTTATCAGCATCACAATCATCAGCATCGTCATCATTATCTTCATCATAATCATCAGTAGCATCAGCATAAGCAGCATCACCACCACAACGACCACTACCACAACAACCATCCTCAGCATCATCAACAGCAGCAGCAGTCGGCGTCATCAACATCATCACCCGCATCATCATCATCATCATCATCATCATCATCATCATCATCATCATCATCATCATCATCATCATCATCTGCATCATCACCGTCATCCCCAACACCATCATCATCGTCAGCAGCAGCATCAGCATCATCGTCAAAACCATCATCACCATCAGCATCATCACCATCATCATCAGAATCATCCTCAGCATCGCCATTATCGTCATCAGCATCGTCATCATCATCACCATCAGCATCATCAGCAGAATCATCACCATCATCGCCATCACCTTCATCATCAGCATCATGAGCGTCAGCATCATCAGCATCGGCAGCAGCATCAGCAGCAGCATGATCGTTAGTATCAACATCAGCAGCATCAGCATCTGCAGCATCGTCATCATCATTATCATCGTCAGCATCACCATCATCACCAGCATCAGCATCAACATCAGCATCAGCAGCGGCAGCATCATCATCGTCGTCATCATCAGCATCATAGTCATCAGCATCAGCATCACAATTGTCAGCATCATCATCATAACATCATCATCATCATCATCATCATCAGAGTCATCATCATCAGCATCATCATCAGCAGCATCAGCATCTGCAGCATCATCATCAGCATCAGCATCAGAATCGTCATCATCGTCATCATCATCAGCAGCAGCATCAGCACCCCTTCCCCTGGCCCCTCCTTTCTACCAACCCCTGCCCTCCTGCCCACCCGCTGCTACCCCCTATGTGGGATGTTCACATACAGCTGAGAAGGCCGTTGTCCATGCGCGAGCACG